ATATATATATATATATATATATATATGCATATACATATATATATATATATACCGTATATAATGACAGGAAACGAGAGTCAAATTTTCATCTGTAGGCCTATACATATACACAATACTCATGATTTATTTATTTAAGTTGTATTTGCAAAGTGTGACGTTTCGTCCGAACTGTGTTATTAATAAGTCATGGATGTTACACTGAGTGATTACGCGGTACAGAAGTAGACATAGCCAGCTTACACTCTGATTTCGAAGGTTTTCGAAGGTTGGTTGTTCATAGCCTGAGATTAACTAGATATCCCAAGCCCATGTAGTACATAGGTAGCACATTAATTTCATCATAAAAGCTCATTTTCCTATGAATATGAAAAGGTATGCGAACAAGAGCAGGCAGCAAAGTAACTCTGTCACTCTGTCAGTTAGTCTTAGTTGAGTAACTAAATATTAATTGTTGTTAGACCCTGTGCAGCGCCACCTCTGGTGGTTTCGAATTGCATTGTAGGCATGGAACACACGTCTGAGTATCTTTTTTTTAGTCCTACATGGGCTAAATGTCTCTTCTAAATAAACGGCATGATCATGAATAAACCTGTACTATATCAGACAATTATCTCAATTATACAACGCACACACTGTAAGCTATATAAACTAATCGATGTTAGCGTATCAAATCAAAACTAATTAATGTTAGCGTATTGAATCTAGCTTATCGAGGAAAAGTAATCAATTGTATTATTTCTCTGAGATTCGAAGCTGCCTTCTCGGCACGGAAAAGTATCGGTATTGTCACAGTTAGGCATACATTTTCTTTGGCAACACTAACACCTGTCTATAATTTTAATTCATATAATAGGCCCTATACGATTTATCAAAACATTATAAATTCCATTATCTTCCTAATACTACCACTAATTATTATTATTATTATTATTATTATTATTATTATTATTATTATTATTATTATTATTAGCCTATAATTATTAGCCTATTATTATTATTATTATTATTAATTAGTGGTATTATTATTATTATTATTAGGCCTATCATAGGCCTATTATTATTATCAGTAGTAGCAGTAGTAGCAGTAGTAGCAGCAGTAGCATCAGCAAGCAGTAGTAGCAGTAGCAGTAGCAGTAGCAGCAGCAGCAGTAGTAGTAGTAGTAGTGTTGGTGGTGGTGGTGGTGGTAGTAATACCAGTAGTAGTAGTAGTAGGCCCTAGTAGTAGTGGTGGTAGGCCAGTAGTAGTAGTTGTTGTATTATTTATTTATTATTATTATTATTATTATTATTATTATTATTATTATTATTATTATTATTATTATTATTATTATTAGGCCTACTATT